TTGCGTTCACACGGAGCTGTTAAAGACATCCTTGCAACATGATCTGCGAAGCAGCCTCATGTGCTAAGGAGACTAAGCTGGTGGATTACGGCCTGCAAAACAGCGCCTCTCCGTCCTGGCTAATATACATGTCTCAAAGCTCACGACGCGACACCTCATGATTGTGAGAGGCATCGAGGTCTGTTCGCACTACTGTGACATACATAACATACTTACTTACATACATACTGTTATATGCTGTGTTTGAGGCCTTCCAAGCTATATTTGAGGCCTCCCAACTGCTTGTAACGAGGCTACAAACTGGATTTGTATCAGAAACTGCTTGGCTGATGTTGGCTGCCGGACAACTGCATATGCCAGATGCTAGAACTGGCTATGAACCCTCAGGACATCTACACACTTGGCTGATAGCGGCACCCAAGATATCGGTCCAAACAGAACTTTTAGACACTTCTTGCACCACCTGATCTGGGTCTTGCATGGCCTGCATGGCCCGGCCTCCGAATGGAGTCGCGAAACTGAGTTGCGTCTGGCCACGAGTTGATCACCAATCGGCCGGTTTTAGGATTTAGGGTGTCGGGTTTAGGGACCTGAACCACCTCTAAAGCTTCGGTGACCGGGAAATTTTGGGGCAGGAGACACCACCCGCAACCCCAAACCTCTGACTCCTAATTTTAACATTATAAACCAGAACCAGGACCAAAGACTACTGTATAATAGCATACTAGATATGGGTTCTTCTTAAGCTACGAAAGACCTCAAGTCTAAAGCCTAGAGTGCAGGGCTCATTGGCCGATTGATACCAGAGTTGCCAGAAAGAAAGCATGCAAGGAATATGGAACGCCGAAGCCACGATAAAAGTCGGACCCAGGCAAGTCCGGACCTGCTCCTTCGGGAGCAAACGTAAATGACAGGATTCGCGAGCTCGAGTCGCAATTAAAAGTTGTAAAGTTGGGGCTTCTTTCAAGTGTTCTTTCAAGGATTGTAAAAGGTCAACTATAAGTCTACAGAAATAGTATACAGTATACAGTATACAGTATACCGTATACGGTATACGTATGTATACTGTATACTGTATATACGGTGTAGGGGCCCTCATAGTTAGAATAGCCTAGAGGTGTTGGGGTTTATTGAATTAGGGTCTAGAGTCTTAGTCTATCATAGTATTTGAATATAATATATATAAACATATCATGTATATTTTATATATATATATATATATCATTATACAACTATAATACCAGTATAATATAGATATAAATATAGCCTAATACAGCTAATACACTACGCTAAGCCCCAGAACACCGCATGTATGCAGCATGAAACATGCACTTCCGCATCGACTACATCATCCGTGCGGAGGAAGCAGGCGACAAACCAGGAGGGCCCAAATACATCTAAATACATACTATCAACATTCATATAATGTAACTCTAATTTATGTCGTCTATAACATAACCTAATAATAATATTGTATTACTATAAGCTACTTTCTCTACAGAGTCTAGCCGACACTGCTACACACGGAGAAACTGTAGTAGAAACAAATGAGAGAGCGGTTGAACAGTTGGGTTACGTTGGTGCTTGCTGAAGGAACCAAACGCTGTAGCCTGTAGTAAGGTAAGACGACTCTGAGACTATTTCGACTGCCTTGGGTTTCACAACAACATGCAACTGCAGACTACAGTGTCTACAGGCCACAGCGAGTGCAACGTGCAACACGAACGGCTGCAACTAGACTACACAGCCCAAAGCCGTTCGGAATGTGTTGACGAATTACTCGCATGCCACTGACTGCAAAAGGTGACTCATCTGAAACGGTCATCGCTTTGCTCGAACTTGCACCCTCATCCCAATAGATCGCCGTAGTTCCACACTCAAACGGCCATGCTGCTCGGCACTCTCAAGATGTGCTGACGCCAGCCAGTCCATGAGGAGATCACAATGGGCAGCACTTGAGACGAAACAGGTGCAAGATTTGTGCTTCTTGCAAACAGCACGGAGTGACTCGGCACCAGTGGAAGCATTGACCAGCAAGGAAATTTGCGCGAGCTCTTCACTTGTGTTGCTGACCCGCCGAATGACCTTGCAGTATGAAGTCCCCTGCCCAGTATACACAGCTTCGATCCGGCCACCGTCGCTCTCCAATCTTACACTGTCAGTTCTTGCCGCACTCGAAGAAGAAGAAGAAGTCCCCTGGCCGCCGCCCGCCCCATCATGCGAAGAGGCTGCTGGCGCTGCACCGCCTCGTCGGCGAACCCGCTGAACAGCAGCAGATGCTGGTGTTGGTGATGTTGATGAAGCAGCCGGTGCCGCCGAGGAACCACCGTCATTGTCAGCTTCGGCTGCATCCTCTGTTGCGAACTCCAGGATTTCGTCATCGTCCGATTCCAAGGAATGCTGGGCATGAGCTGCTTGCAACACCTCTTCCGGTCGATGGACATGATGGCACATAGCAGCAGCTTGCCTCAATGCCTGGATGGCATTGTCATCTAAGACGGAACGTAATTCTGGATCATCCAGTATATCCTGAGCACACATCATATCGCCTAAGCATCTAACCAAACCTATGGGAGCTATCTAACATATCACCTATGCCGCCTACCTCGGCACCGTCGACACCGACACCGATGCCGATACCGTCTATACCGTGGACCATACCGTACCCTGAACATGTACACACCGTGCAACCGTAACTGTAACCGTATGTCATATCCGTACACCGTATACGTATACGGTATACGGTATACGGCGGTATACGTATACGGTATGTATGTATGTATATATATATATATATGATTATATATGTGTCATGCAGTACACCGTACACCATACATAACTACACCGTCTAGCACCGTCTAGCCCCGTATAACCTATACCGCCTATCGCCGATACCGTATCCCGTTACACCGTATGCCTAGCCTATGCCTAAGCCTATGCCCCTAAGCCTATTAGCCTATGAGCCTATGTCTAAGCCTATGCCTATACCGGCGGTCAGGTTTCTTTTGTTTGAGTCTTGAGAAACTGAACCAACAGCCTACCTACAGTAATGCGACCAAGAAGTCAGTTTCGTGGGCCGGCTGCTCCTCAAACTCATGCTGCGCATCCGGGTTGATGTTGTCTGCGGGCTTGCCCTTGCCAGCCCTACCCCTGCCGGTCTCGGTCTTCCGTCGTTTCGCCCCAGGCGGTGAGCGAGATGCGAATGTTGTTGTTGCTTTGTTCGGATCGCCCAGGAAGCTCATGAAGTCAAAGATGTCTGCTGAGTCTGCTGCACTGTTATCAGCATCGCCTTCTCCAACAGCCGGAAGGCTCGCATCACCATCATCGACTCCGATCGCACCGCCTGGCTCCGCTGCCTGCTCCTCTTGGCCCGACTCTTGGACACCTTGGCTTATAGCAAGAATGCGGGGTAACTATCACAAGTTGAGGAGAAACGTCTTCGAAGGCAAGTCTGTCGACGACAACTTCACCAGGCGTCCTCGGTGTCAGATCTTCTGGTGAGGTGAGGAGGCCCAACAAATAGAATGCAAACGCGTCAGTGGTATACATCCGCAAGCGCCCGACCGGCTGGCCCGCATCGCCAGTGGATGGCAGCCATTCTCTCTTGCACTCCACATAGGGCACCGTAGAAAGCATCAAGCGCAGGCCAGCAAAAGCGTTTGCAACCGCAGCAGGACGATCGCGAGCAGAGCCAAACGAAGAAGTCACATCATCTGCACACACAAAAACCTGGTCGGGTTTATGAACTCCGCTCCTGGCAGATGGAGCTGTGACCCACGCATACTCTCTGACGATATTCCTCTTCGCAGCATCGATTACTGTAAAGGCACACAGCAGGTCCGCCCTGGCAGCCTCAAGGGGCGGTCCGTGTTTACGAACGAACAGCAACAAGGCCTCGACGAGCTTGCAATGCAAACTGATGCCTGCGAAGTCTTGAGTCTTAGTTTGAGGTTTTAGGCCAAGGTCGTGGTTAAGGCGAGTTAGCGGCTTAGGTTTAGGCTAGGTGGCTTGGATTATAATTATAATTATGCTTAATTAATTAAGGTTGAAGCTTAGGTTTGGGGTCTGGCATGCTCTTGGCCTTCAGCCCTCAGCACTGGGCTAAGGCTCCTTTTTATATAATCTGCTAGGGTTCGGTTTGGCCTTAGGCTTCGGGCTTGGGCTAGGATTTAGTCTAATAGGACCCTAGGACTCACAGGCGACTCAAAGATATGGACAGAGATAGTGACATTGACATAGTCACATAGTGACATAGTGACATAATGGACATACATAATGACATAGACATAAACTAGACATAGACCTAGACATAGACAGTGATAGTCGAACAGACTGATATAGACGTGACATGTGACATAGACATAGACATAGACATAGACATAGACATAGACATAGACATAGACATAGACATAGACATAGACATAGACATAGACATAGACATAGACATAGACTTAGACATAGAATCCTGAACCCAGATCGAGCCACGATCGTGCTCACCAGAATTGCGGCACTGATACCCGCAGCATGACTCGTAGCACACCTTCTTCGGGAACACTTCAGCATCAGCAGGAGGCCTTGCGATCCGTTCCATCTCAAGATCAAACTGCGCAACTGCCGCAGCACTTGACACACCTCGTTTCCTCTGGTGGCAGGCGATGGTCTCCAACATTTGCTCTGAGACCGGATACGTATGTTTGCCAACCGAGGCAGCCCCCTTGCCGCTGCTCGCTGCCCTGATCTTCGACTGGAGGTCTTTGACTGTTTCGGATGCAAGAGCTTTGTCTAATGGCAGGATGCCTACCAGGGAAGGAGTCGATGGACCTAGTTGAGGCAGGGGCTGCAAGGCTTGCGACTCTTGCGACGGTTCTTGATCAAGACCAGGACCATTACCAAGCCTGCTTGCCGGCGCCGCTGCAGAGGCAGCAGCTCGCCGACGACCGTCCTGGGCACTCTGCTTGCTCGCCAAGGACATGGCCTTGTAAATGCTCTGCTGCTGCTCGTCGAGGTTCGCCCAACCTCGACGGACCTCATCCCAGGCTGTCTTCGTGCATGGATTGAATGCATCGTTCTGCAATCGTTGATTTTGAATCCAGTTGGCACGGTAGACCTCGAAAGCAGATTTGCCTCTGGGTCTCGAGGATCTGTTGTCCGATAGACGTACATCACTGTCAATTCGGCGAAATGATGTATCCGTAGCTTTTCCCTTTCCCTTGTTCACATGCTGCCGGGCTTGACGATTCTCCAACATAGCTTCGGAATTGATAAATTTGGCAGCAACCGTGCTGAAACCAGAATCTGTGTTCTGACGGTTTTGCGCATGCTTCACCTCGACATCCGCGATGGTAAATTGAAAACAAGCAGCATACCAGTACAGCACCTGCTTCCAGCTGGCAGACTGCAGCTCGTCGCCACTGACGTTTCGCAGTTTCAGGCCGCGGCACAGCCCAGGCTGCACACAGCATGTTTTCTTTCTTTCCCAGCCTCGAAGAAAACGGTCGGGCTCATCTGGACATGCATTTGGATCCGCAACCAAACCGATAGCATACGTGTCACAATTGATGATATAATCGTAGTGATGCCGAAATTGCCATCCTGCAGCAAATAATAACACTCGTCGTATCTGCCGCACCAAGCCCGGCTCAAGCTGACAGAAGTCATCGAAACTTTGATACCCAAGAGGCTTCCAAAGGAACTGCATCCGGCCTCCGCCCTCCGTCGTGCAAAGCAAGGAGCTGAAGTGCTGCAAAGCACCTGTCAGCACACTGTCCTTGGGGTCTAGGAGGCTGAACAGCGGGGGCCGAGCTTCCGGAGACCAACTCTTCTTGAGGCACCCGATCCAAAACCAGGTCAACAGACGGTTGGGCTCAAGGGCAACGAACAGCAAGCTGACTTGCCATGCCGAGTCTCGGTCCTGCAAAAACTTACGGGAAGAAAGAAGTCGCCTTCCGTTGACAACATGGAAAGCAAGGGTCTCCACGAGTCGAGGGTCGACATCTTCGGTGGCTGCATCCTCCGCAAACTCTTGAAAGCTCATGTCCCCGAAAGCTTCACAGAAGATTTCCGAGAGCCAGTTGTGCACTAAGCTGCCCGCAAAAACGAAGTCAAGTGGCCCAAAAAGCTTGGACCATTTACTTGGGCTCGGGACAGCGGGCATACCCCGCAGGAACAAACCAAGTAAAGCATCCACGCATTTCCGCACTGCATCGTTGCGGTCCTTACAATGCCTCTGGCCTGGGGCAGCACATGAGCTGCTACACACGTGCATGGGCGCACCGTTCATGGACGGGCCATTGAACATCTCTGCGAAATAAGATATCTTGCGAGCGAACGAAGCTTCTGAAGTGGATTCCTCCAACTCTGAATGCTGCTGCTGCCCACCATCACCTTCCACTGCTCGTGCCACCTGATCTCGTGTCCGCCAAAAGGAAAGGTAATTTAGCAGCTCTTTTAGGCATGGATGTGCTTCAGGTGGGGATTCTGTAGTCTTCGACCGCTCGAATTTCAAATTTCGTTCGAGCCATGTCCGTGCGGCCTGCCGCATACGCAACCAGTACCCTAGATTCCGAAGGAAGATGCTCAATGCATAAACTCGGTTAAGTAGTTTCGAGTTCACGACGGCCAACAACGAGGCATTGTTCAGCTGAACCCCATGATTCATGCATCGACAGTGGGCGGGAAGCAGTGGATGCGAGGAATCTGGAGGTCCCAACACAGTAGCTTTAGCCTTCTGGACCAAATGCGCCAGTAACCGAAGATTGCTTGCAGCACCGTCTGTCTCTGATACATCAATGTTGATTTTAGCTTGTTGCCTCATATATCCAACCAGGCCGTTTATGCACTTGTAGGCAGGATGATGGTACAAAGCATAGTACTGGTGTTCTGCACCCGTCGCTAGCAGGGTCACCGGTGGCATAATGATTCGGTAGACCAAGTTGCAGCCACTCGGCCACACTATCATGATGAGCATCCTGCAAACAAGTACTTGCCAAGTGGACCGGACACGGTAATCGGACTTATCAGCATTCATGCTGCACTGTAGCTGTGTCTCATCCCACTTGATATGCTTGATGACAGCGGCAGGTCGGTCATTCAAGCACCATTGAGCAAGCTTCGCAAGGAAGTGAGCCTGCCTGTTCATGAATGTCGAACTGACCATGATCTGCATTCGTCGCACTGTGGATTTCGCCACGTCTAAGCGCAAGGCTACTGCGGCATTTCTGCAAATTCTGCTGTAGGCTGCCTGCAAGAACTGAGTCCAAGCCAACTTCATCTTGAAGCGATTACCCCTGGCACTCCTGCGAGTGAGTTGCAGCGATACTCCCATGGAAGTATGAGCATGAGCGACCCGAAGGCGAATCACCTCAGAACCTTGCATAAAGTGACTGTCACTGAGAAGCTCGGAAATCGCCTGGGAGAATGCTTCTACTCGCCGAGAAAGCTTCACGGATCCTTCGTTGGCTCGTTGGGCCACACGGGCAGTTGAACGACTATTACTATTACTATGACTACCAACAATACAAGAACACGATAACAACGGAAACATATACATAAACAAAAGTCCGTCTTCCCAACACTGACTCTTGCAATTGAGACACGCATATGGTATGTCAACAAAGACCGTTCTGCAAAATTACCATGCCTACCCAGTCCAACACGTCCAACCATACTCGTAAATTTGGTCCGTTTTCTAAATGTAGGCTTGGCAATAGACCTGGACTCCGACTCAACATGGCCGCCATCTCCTGATGCTAGGGCATCTGGCAACCTTTGCAAAGCCAGAGTTTCTGCAGCGGCTTCTGAAGGGATCGCTGAAGTTTCAGCGGGGCTTTCATCGAGCAATGACAGGAAATCGAAATCCATGGCAACGAGCGACGATCTGAATTCGTGAATTCTGAATTTACCTTGATAGAAATCGCTGGATCTGAGGTCGAGGCTCAGTTAGGGTGCAGGGTCAGGTCTCTGGGCAGGCGGAGGTCTCAGGGTTGAGGAGAGGACTGCAAGAGAGGACTGATGCATATCGTTCAATCCAGGTCACAACCGAGCCATCGGCCAGGATCGCGACAGTCAGATCTGAGACGAATACACCGCAATTAGATCGAAACCCCAAACCAAGCAAACTTGAGCACCCCTAGCGGTTAAATCTAAGCCCCAAACCAAGTAAAATTGAGCACCGCTAACGGTTACATTGAGCCCCGAAGCAAGTAAAATCGAGCCCCGAAGCAAGTAAAATCGAGCCACGAAGCAAGTAAAATCGAGCCCCAAAGCAAGTAAAATTGAACCCCGGGCCCTCAGACAAGGTCCTCATAAAGAGAGGCCACCGAAACGTGGTACAGAGAACTACCAAGACATACATATACATACGTACATGTATGTGTGTATGTATATGTATATGTTGCTTTAACTTCTCCATCTCATGTTGTGTCTGATTTTTGCTACTCAAAACAAAAACATGGAGGCGGTCATGGCGATCAAGATTGCCACTGGACCTCAACGCTGCCAGCAACACCAAGCGAAAGAGGGCCTTCGGAACCTCGTTGATGTCCATGCCGGCCCCCGCAAAGGTCATTGCCTCCGACGACAGTCCGGGAGATAACTTCAACACTGCAAAAAACTCGCGAGACCTCGGCGATTCACGAACCGTAGAAACCGAAGTTCACAGCAAAAGGGGCTTTGCAACCCCAATCCAATCTTCAACATAAACCCCGAACCCCGCAAACCAGACTTCACACCCTCACAGTAACAACCCAGACTACTCAAAGCCGCGAACGGCTTTCCTATTTGTCAGGGCCCTGGCATTGTGCCCCGGCGTGTAATCGGCCACCTCCGTTGAACCGAGGTCGACGATCACCCGCCTTGGGTTTGGGTTTTTGACCTTAAGGGTTCAGGGTTTGGGGTGCAAAGTTTTGCTGTGAGGTCGACATCCCTGAAAGCACGGCTCGCTGGTGTTTTGCACACGCAATGTCTGTGGCTCGCAGTTCCGACTTTTGAACCCAAGCCATCACGGGACTTTGCGCCCAGCGTGAACTGGCAAGTGCTTGTGCAACCGCCGGTAAAAATGCCGCAATCTGTTGATGCCTGAATGGCGCGAAGGCAGGTGAGACGGGTAACAAGCAAGGAAAATTGCAGGGGTATCCCACCGGATTACCTCAGCTCTTACATAGACGAGCTGCTTGAGTCTTGCACTGCTGGGCTCACCAGTGAAATCTCCAAGAGCTGAGCCATGAAGCATGCTCGCTGATGCAGCATCCCACCGACTACCTGGCTTGCGCTCAGTAGACCGCACAGGAAGTGAGTCGCTCGGCGGCTCAGCGCAAATCTTTGGTGCCCGCGTTGCCCGCAGCCAGAAGCAATGCGAGGAGCAACGAACTGTCATCGTGACAGCTGATGCCTGGATTCCGGGCAAAATTGGACCTCGCAGAATCACCTTTTCCAGCTCCGTGAACTGCCGCGAAGGCGAAGTGTTGTTGTGGTACTGGCCGAAGTATTGGTAAGATCCAAAAAGCTCTGTCGATCACCTTCATGTCGCAGTCCTCGCCCTCTCTTGTCAGGAGACCGTGACCGTGCTCATCTTTGACATACTGTTACTTCCGCACCTGCCCCATGTCATACACAATCGTAACCCTGCGCTCCTTGGGAGCGGCGGCTTCGGCCTGCACCGGTGCAGAAAAGGATGAAGGCTCCGGCCATTCTTCTGCCACTGTGCAGCTGGCCTCCTCCAAGCGCTTGTCTGGGCAATCGAAGTGGATAAGATTGTTGCTAGTGCACAGGTCCTCGCGGGATGCGGCTCGTTTGACCCATGGTCCGGCGCCGGACTTAACAGCTGTAGAAGCTTCCAGCGCTTGAAGCAAGGGCTGTCTCTGTGCTGCTCGTTGAAGTACTCCCAGCAGCCTGAGAAGTGTTTCAACTGTGGAAAGGTGAAGAACACTCGGTTGCAGTGGCTCTCTCCTCCCTCACCCACTTCTTCTGCCTAGCTAAAGCTGTCGCTCCGACTGCAATCACCGCCTGGACCAACAACACATTACACGAACCTGTCCAACCCCAAAGCTCCCTTCCGAGTGCAGTCCCAGAAACTCCAACCGGGAGAGCGCTCCCCTCATCGCTTCCACTCGCTCCTCCAACGGCGTGGGCTG